GACTGGACATAATTCTTTTGCACACAAACCACTGGTTGCTTCACACGAATCACGATAGCTTCTGCTGTTTGAAGTATTCGGTACCTGGAAGTTTTTTGTCAATTTATTTGGTACCCGGTAGATGATAGGGAGGGATTCTTCAATGCTGACTTTGTGGCCGGTTTGGACTAGGGGGGCTAAAATCGAACTGTTGATGATGTTTACTACACATCGACTTAGCCGAACGAGCACGAAAATTAAGTTCCAACAGCAACGGCCGATATAACTCTCCTACTCACAAGAGCAGTTGAATTGGTAGATACAATTTGAAGTGGGTAGTCTAGGTACTTCATCTTTCAATCGAGGAATCACCAAAAATCGTGTAGAAAACATGACTTGTAGTGTACCAGCATTAAAAGTTCACTAAATAGATTTTCTTAACTTGTCAGTAATTATTTCATTAGGTGTGTCGCCCTTGAAGTGCAGTCGTATCTATAAAAGCTTCTTATTTACAGATGGAGAATTCATTCATTATTATGTATATAAAACTGTAGAACCTGATGAGGAAGGGGTTATCGAAAAGAATATTCTTTGTTCAGTAATCATTCTTTTGAAAACTTGCGTTTTGTCGTTCTGTGGAGCCATGATCCCAAAACAGGTATAGACATTTACTCAGTTATTTTCTTCCCAAGTGATTAACTAGCATGGTATAAGAGCTCGCCTTGTAACCAGAGGGTCCTGGATTCGAACCCCGATGGGTACGTACTGTGAAGAGTCTTAGACTAGGGCGAAACAGCGGTCCAGTACTCCCTGGTTTTCAATGGTACTCTAACCAATGTCAGCTCACGATGATATCATGTAACCACTCAACCAAATCCCTACAAACCATCACTTGAACTAGCATTATGTTTTATGGTAATAGAAATCTATCCTCAGAATTTTATGCATATTCTTTTTAATATGTGTATAGACATTTTAGTTGGAAATAAAAGCATCATCTGTCAGTGTTCTCCCTTATCCGAGTATTCACAAAATAGTCAGAAGCTGTTTATATTAACTAAGATATGAAAACCATCAGCTTTCGTGTGTTTTTCCCATAACTTAAAAGATCGAAAGTTCTGTACAGCCAACAGTTAGTTAGTGGCTATGCAACTTTACTGCCTACTTAGTAAATATCCAACCACGTATAAAACGCGAGAACAGCATGTAATATTTTATTTTTAAGTATTGGTTTGCACAGTTACGATTGATTTCAAGATTTATCATAAACGGACTTAAGTTAGAGAGCCATTGAAAACAAGGGAGTACTGGACAGCTGTTTCGTTCTAGTTTAGGTATCTTCACATTACGCACCCATGACCCACCAGAGGTAGAAACCAGGATCTTCAGGTTACGAGGCAACATCTTCTGAAATCTAGCCATTATGACGAAATCCCGTAGCCGATTAGTTCTAACTTCTGTTAATTCGCAATGTAGCGCGACCACCAGTGACTCACTCCAGGGTGAAGTTGCTTGAATTTTTAGTGGATCTACCAAGTTGTGTGTGAGGATGATGACATTGTCTAGAGGTACGCCGTATCTCGAATCACTCAAATAAATATAAGTGTTTTTGGTAAAGTATTCATATAAACAGGTGACATAACAGAGACAATAAAATTCATTTATTTTTCATCAGTAATCAGAAAGTATTTTTGTTCTGTGAATATCACAAACACTAAAGTGCAAAGGAATACCACAACACTAGATCATTTAGTGCATTGATAGTGCTTTCCGGAGAACACCATAACAGCATGATTTTAGCAAATGACTTCAGAGAATGCTTATTAATCACTCTTCAATATTTTTAAATTGTACTTAGTTTACAATGAATTTGTTGAACTGCCAAGTACTATATCTTCTTATTTTTTATTATTATTATTTATTTCTTATTTCTCGAATTCACCTTATTTGATGGTCTGTTTGCTGGAGTTGAGATAAAAACCTAGGTGCTGGAGGATTCGAATCACAGGATTCTGGATTACTTGTATATTAATAAATTAAAAGTAAGTCTAATCTGTTTAGCATGACAAACAGCTGATTTGTTTTAACTAAAGAGTTTAGAAGTTAAGTTATTTTTACGCCAGATTCAAAGAAGACGATAATTTTGATGTAGAAATGCACAGTTTAAAAAACATCAAGAATCGATATTACAGCAGTCTGTAGCTCACTGTGTTTGAAATTTCCCAAGAATGGTTTTCAGAATTAACTTAAATGTTATTTACAAGGATATACAAAAAAAATGTAAATTCAGCATTCTGTCCACCAAAATTTGTAGTGGATTTCTTCTTAGTTGAATATCTTATTTCATTCATTTCAGTTTATTAGTTATAGAAAGTTTGAATTCTTGTATGTATTCTTGTCAGCACAAAGCGTATACTAATATAACTACTTTGTAACTCAAATCGAACTCTTTTAATCTGAACATCAAGGTTAGTTGCTTTAGCTGTTAAACAGAGTCAACTTTTCTTATACTTTCAGTATACAGGAATTTCATTTTTTCGGTTTCTAAATTGTCACCTGAATTAATATCACCTCTTAGTCAAGTTCATCGAGTAGTTTTAAATAACACCCTTGAGAATTAAACGATTAATTTTTGATGGTCTTTGCAGTTGTCTATAACATGAAGATAATATTCTTTTTCGAAAATCTTCTGTATCTTTTGAAACCTAGCCTAGAAGAAAACTTATACTAAAGAAAAGGGTTAATTAGAAGATATAAATATCAAAATTTATGAAACGATTTCATTGGCATTCTGTTATTACCAGATGCTTGGAGGCAATCGGCAAGAAGACTTGGATCTAGGTTTCATGCTAGTTATTGCTAGTCATCAGGGCGTATCTGCAACCTTGAAGGAACTCATGTCCTTTCTGAGGTTCGAACTCACATCACCCAGTGATGCAGTCAGAGATTTTACCAGTGAGCTTGCGACTGAGCTGTAGGACTGTATTAAATACTTTGGATGGACACTAGCTAGCAACTAGTGTAACGTGTCTAGTCCTTTCTTTGATGCAGATTGAATTCTGTCAGTAAAGTTTACAATGTGGCCACCATTCCAGGTAGCTGTCCATCACCAACTGATAGAATTCTGTCAGCACCAAACGAAGGACTAGACACATAATACTAGTTACTAACTAGCGTCCATTCAAAGTATTCTGTTATTACAGATGGAAAAATTATTACTGAAGATGCTAAATTCATAAAAAATTGGAAGAAAATTTCGCTTATCATAAGTGTGTTAAGGAAAAGCACTAACATAATTTTCCCTACCAGTGGCTGCTTTCGCCCGACACTGAAGATCAGATGGAAAAACCAGTAAGAATAAACAACAGAGAGCTCTAACTGCGCAGCTAACCAGCCATGAACCTATGACCGAACATAAATGCGGAAGGAAGTAGAATTCGATGGAACATATACTGTGAACGCGGTTGTGCGACATCTCACACCATGTTAGGCCTTGATGGAACCCGGTTTGGAAGTGATGAGTTGGGCGTCCGATAGTGACAAAGACGAGACCATATGGAATGAAATCTTCGGGGTAGTCGTAGTACCAGTTGAAAGTGGTAGCAGGGAACTGAGTGGAATGGAAATGTGCAACTGAAGCCCTATACTCCACTCGGAATGTAAGGAACAGATAAATAATAGTAACTTTCACTGTTATACAGTGAAAGGTTATGGTTTATTGTGTGTTAAATCAGATCCTTGACTATATAAATTATACACCATTACTGTCCAATGTGGTGCACTCAAGGTGCCATTCACTAGCATAAACCGCTTGAATTAGGTTTACTGGTTGTTATACCTTTCTGGAATGAAATACTACCAACCCTTGCTTTTAGTTGGCTGAGCACTTGGAACGTGCAGTAATTTCATTCTCCTGAAGTCGTATTATTTCTAAATTTTTCCTTTGATAACAAAGACAACTGTTTACCTGAAGAAGGTGCTTTAATGTTACATTTCTTAAGGTTGCAACCTCTCAGAAAATAAGACCTGTACCACAAATATTGTTTGGAATAAAGCCATTATTATTATTATATATTCTCTGTCTGAATTTTATTTCCCCGATCACTTACTAATTATTCGAATGTTATATATGTAGGGGTTAATTGGTCCCAGTGTACATTTCATAATGAACGGAAACCGCCTAATCACCAATGGCAAGGTATAGTGACAGAACTATATGGTGAAACGACAGTGATGCTGTCACAAACTAACATTAACTGGAGAAGCAGAAAGAAAACCAAGGAGTAGTGACCTGTTTGTTCTTTAATCTAGTTCGGCATTACTGAATAGTATTCCTCTCCACCTCCATAAAGATTCTGGTTTAGGTTTGTCAGGTTCAGCGGAAAGCACTTACTTGTTTACTCAATGAGAGAGAATAGTTTATTAATTCAAACAAAACACTTGACATCACTGGCAGAATTCAATTCATTTTTTATAACTGTATATGCATTATGTGCTTGGTCGTTGTATTTCACTTGAAAATCAGACAGTTTTAAAGTATATGTCCATCATTTACAATTGAAATCATGTCACTTTAATCTGAATACGGAAATACATACTTACTGATAGTATTGAAATGAATATCACGGGGACATGATGCACATGTCTAGTAAGCACACAGGATAAAAAATAAGCCAAATAATTGAATTTCATTGTAGAAGGCTACGTCTCTTCATTTCTCCTTCTCCTGATGAATATCTCTTTCAAAAAAATAAAGATGCTACTCTGGTCATGCAAAAAGCACCTACCTGTATGTGTCAGTCTCACACTCCGTGCCTAGTAGTTATATGCACGGTGTCTGGAAAATATTGTGCATAGACAGACAGGTGTGGTGTGAGTAAGAAAATTTGGGTGTACAGACATCTAGTGTTTATTTTGACCATAGGTAGGTAGATAATGGGAACTTAAATAATAATATTACCTCGGTTACAATTATACACCTATTTTATAAAAACATGTTGTATTAAACAGACTAGACAGGCGGCTCACAGTCATTCTGTTTTATCAATGTTTACAATCATAATTAGAATGGATCATACGCACATCGCCGTAGGCCAATAAACTAAAACTACAACAATGTGCCTCTACATGAAATCCATCAAGACAACTAAATTATCTGAAACTTTTTCAAATCTATGAATTATAGTAAAAATCTTACAATTTAACTATTGAATTCTTACATTGGAAACTATAAGTTTATTGAAAACCTATCTGAACGAAGAATATTTCATCCAGTTATACATTTTATTCCATGTATATCATTATATTTCTAAAAGAAGTGCCCAAACCTTAGACACTAGAATGATCTCCATTGAAGATAACCATACGAAGCGGATTATTTAATTTGCATGGTCAGGTGGTGCAAAAAACTTGTATACATGTGAGTGAATTTTCAAACGCTGCTTTAGAATGTTTATCTCTTTGTAATTATTACTTAATAACCGCCTGTCAGTATATAAAATGCAAATATGACTTTTTTTCGTGAATGTGTAATTGTCCAGCATTCAGTCGAGATACACTTTTATTGTATTTTATTTTTTTAAATATTTTTGATTGTAGCTTGACTCCACACCGTATTCTTAGTACAACTATGGAATTTCCAGCATGTGATATCAGGTGTGCGTCGACCGGGGGTCAAATCCCGGACCATGTGCATGGTCGGCGACTGTCCTAACCGCTGTACCACCGAAGCACAAGCGTGTGCCAGAGGTGGTAGTTTTGTATGTATAATCGCAAAGCTAAAGCCAAATAACCATAGCTAAAAGTTAGTTGCGAAAATCATCACAAAAGTACTGAAGAAAATGATTCTTACTTTATTCTACTCTTAGAGGAGTAGTTTCATTACTTAAATGTGTTTCAAAATTTGATCGGATCACATTCCATTATGGATTTCACTGCCTTAAATTTGTTAGCTTTGATTTTCACAATGTCATATTATTGATAAAACTGAGTGAACAGATCGCAGAAAATAATTGTATGAAACAGTACTATAAGATAAATAAGGACTACGTCATTGCCACTGTCAAGTGTATTGTTGAGTTGTCTCTGATCTGAAAGCTACTTCATTATGGCGGTTTGAAATGTTTATACACTTGAGTCAGAGATAAAGCCTCTAGTTAACATGATTTAGTTCTTTTCAGAATTGTAAATTTAAAGTGAATTAGGCCAAGGGATATTACTAATAAAATATAAGCTGTATGACACCACTTATCTCATTTTGATCCCATTTGTAAGCTGTTGTATGCATATATGACATTTGAACATACACAAGATTGTGTTACATTTCACTTATACATATTTTGACGTCAGATAGACAGCAACTGTTAACACGGAACATAGATAGGATCAGTGTTTGATGGTTTAGTTCATCACATTTTCAATTTGTACATTAAGTAGGTTATGCGATGCATATAGCAACATTACTAATGGTTCTAAAATGTCATAAGACCAAACAGTAAGTCACTAGGGAAATAAGATTATCACGATTAAAATAAAGAAGGACTATGAATGCCTATGTGCCACTGTCATCAATTCCGATACATTTTACCGATTTTCTCTAACTTTCATCTTCTGTTACTTCATAAATTGAAGCCCCATAATCGATGGTCCCTTGAACGACTCAGATCTATGGTTAGTGAAGGCATAGTTTGGCATCATTCGTTGTCTTGCCATTATTTTCCCGTGCATTTTCTAACTTCAAAACTTATCTTATCAACCAGTGCTTAAGTTTTAACACAATGGTCATTGTTATGAGCAAATGCAATATATATATATATATGTATATATATATGCAATAAGCTGTGAGGATAGCGCAGATGATGCAATACGAAACGAAACAATGTAATGTCCACAGACCAAATGGAATGACCGGAGTTATGATGAGGAATGGCAACTAGTGGGCTCTACCAAGTAGCTAATGTTGACAAATAATCATGAATGACGATAGAATGGTGTTATCACTATATCCTTAATCAGCAGAATTTGAAAAACATGAGCGAAGAGATTTGGACAAAGTGGCTGAAACATCACGTCCTCATCTCAAATTTTAAAAATTTAGTCATTCTTAGAGTTTCACATGCACACTTTTAAAAGTCTTTAACATATGCTGAAAGAGGAGTGTAGTGTTATTGATTTTTTAAATTTTTTTTATTATAGCCTGAATTCACACATTATTTTTGATACAAGTATGGAATTTTCAGTATGTGATATTGGTAGTCCAAATTTCGTAGGCCGACCATTAATATCAGGTGTACTTCGGCCAGGGATCGAAACCCGGACCATGTGCATGGTCGGCGAGCGTCCTGACCGCTGTGCTCATCCCTTATCATTGTCTCTTGTTAGTGTTAGCTCTTGATGAAAGCTGTTGTGAGAATAATTAAATCCCCATAAACATGTTAACGTTTATTAATTATTTAGTATAAAATATTTCCATGAGTCGCACGCAATGCAGAACTGTTCTGCGTCTTTTGATCTACGATTTTGTTTATTGTAAAGTGAGATTTCACCGTTATTGATCAGTTGTATATTGACTTTTTTCTAACCGAGTATTTTCTCGGCTAAACAGAAATGAAGTAAATATTGTCAAATTTTATTCCACATTCTACTGTTCATATCGTTCAATATATCTAGAAGATAGACTTAGTCACAGGCCGCAGATATCCAGGCAAATTCAAGCAACAAAATTTCTTCATTCTAGATACTAAATGATAACTAGTGAGACTTATGAGGAACCGCATTATTCCTTTACATTATGATGATGATCGTTAGGTGACTATCCACAGATCTTTGTGATTACATTTTTGCATAAAATCACTAGTTTAAATGTCGAATATGACAAGTGTACTTATCTTTGGAGTATTACAGTAATGTTCAAGTAACATGTCGTCTAACTTGTTTAAATATCTTAGTCTAAAGATTGACGTATGGAACAAGGACACAACTTTGAATATTTTAAACTTTAAAATAACGAGTATTTTTCTTCGCTTATACATTGCAATATCTAACATCGATACAAAAGTCCATGTGTTTTACAGGTGTTCAAAATGAAGTAGCGTACATGTAATTCAATAATTTGATTAATTTAAACAAAAAAATAATAGCCATTGAAAGCATACCGATTTTGTTTTCTGATAAAAGTTTTACAATCTGAAACAGAATGCAAAGAAAAAAGCTGGATAAAAATGGTATAACTTCGTGGTTACTCTTTTATAAACGGTATTATAAAAGATTTGACCTAAATGAAAAAAACTTGGTTTCATTCTCTAGCCTAATTAGAAAGTCCAGTGTGGCAGTTTTGTTTTTCTTGAGATTTAAGTTTCAATTCCATGTCTTTCAGTGATTATCCAGAATATTAGACAACGGTATAGAGTATTCCCGGTGACACAGCGACATGATGCTCGCCGACCACGCATATATCCCGGGGTTCGATCCGCGACCGACGCACTCCCAAACCTCGCTAAGCCAGTAATAAGACTGGTAAAGAGGGAAGGTTAGGTTGGGCGTGAAGCTAGCAATTCTATCCCGTAAAAATAAACACCACTGCTACCGAAACTTCAAAGCTGTAGCTTGAACCCCTATGTTCAACTGGGAACGTAAAGGAATAAAAAATAGAGCATTCCCATCATTCTTTTAAGGTGTAGAAATTTCTATGTCGCGATATCTTCATAGTGTTTGAGAGCACAAAAAATAATAAAATATAAAATTGTATGCCTCAACGAAAACTGAGACCACACCTCAAATAAGGAAGCGGTCGAAATTTTGTGTAACTTAACGGTTTCAAACTCACCTAGTGCTTGTAACAAAAAGCCATAGAACTCGGTAAAAGAAATCAGGATTCATGAAGCAAAATGACTGTTATTTGTATGACCAAACCTTAAATGAAAGTTTCCAGAAGAGGATATGTATTAAATCTAAATGTAAGTGAATCATTCTTTTTTAATGGCATCAAAATTTGATAAGCGACTGCTGGAAGTGGATATTCAGATGCATATATCAACTTATTTGTGTTTCATCATCCAGATGTACCTACACCTCATGTGGTATTGTTCTCAGTGGCACTTGAACGCAGTGGGTATCGATTTAGATTAAGCTATAAGAACCAACTTCTTCCCAGTGGGTATCAGCGGCTTATTATTGAACATTACAACGTTGCCCATTGTTTGCTTTTGCTGGATCGAAGTACTGGGTTCTCTGTTTTTGTGTAACCTTCTTAGAACTTGCGTCTAAATTACGTCTGTGATTTTGACTTAATGTCGTTGGACATAATTCAGAAGGTACCAGTGTATCCTGGGCTCCCGTGTCAGACGTACTTTTATCAATTAAAACCAGGTTGAAATCAAGATCATGTTTGAGGCACGTTTACTAGGATCCATTATACCAACGAAAATCAGTCATGTAGGTCTGGCAAATATAGCAACTGGAAATCCACAGTATTCAGCATATGACTCTGATCAATGTGCAGAACAAGTGGTTTCTCATAAATTTAAATCAGGTCATTAAGAATAAGTTTACTCAAAGTGTTATGAGACTCCTAATCAGAGCGATATGATGCTACTATAAGTGTTTAAAAAGTGACTCATTTCATTTGGGTGACTATGGGGAGATTCTGAAAACCCTGCCTGCCTAAAAAAAGGTACCTTCTGGGAGATAGTATATACGGAAACAAGATATAAACAGCTTACCCTATGAAAATATCCTATCTGAGTGATAAACAAATTTTTCTGTGTCTACTATCACAACAACCGGAAATTTATAAACCGTCTGATGATAAATAGTATACTGTCAATTACAGTACAATATTTCAGAGCATTGGGAAATATTTATGGGTATCAAGTATTTCTGTCTACATGCTTCATTCTAACCTGTTTTAACCGGTTGCTGTAACTTTAAAAATATCTTTTCACTGCAGGATACAATTACCGTACCAATGGGTTTCTTATTAATGTCATTTCTCATTTGAATCACGAAATTATCCGAAATATCATAAAATTGTGAATGGTGTCAGCTTTCCATCGGTTGGGACAGCTAAGAACTTGGTTTAGCGATATATACATCGCAAAGTTACAGACTCTGATCAGGTCGCAAATTATTAGGGAAGACACATGACTTTCCTTATTTAATTAGGACTCTGAAAGTCTATATGTTACTTACACTAAATAAAGTTTATTCTTTTGATTGGACACCAGTTAGTAACTAGTGTAGTGTGTCTAGTCCTTTGTTTCGTGCAGGATGAATTCTATCAGTCAAGTTTGCAATGTGGCCACCATTCTAGGTGTCTCACCATCACGGTGCACTTTGAATTGTTCATATTAGATGGTTATGTGCAATCGACAGGAAGCCCACTAGCTCAGTGGTAACGTCTCTGACTGCAGCACTCATTGG